ACATAAAATAAAAAATAAAATATTTAAAAAATCTTATTTACCATCTTTATTTTTATTTTATGTGTATGAGTGTATTGCCTGCATGTATGTGTGTGCATGTATAGGTATACATGCACAGGTATACAGTGCACAGGTATACATGTGCACAGGTATACAGTGCACATGTAGGCCAGAAGAGGAGGTCAGATCCCCTGAAATTGGCTTGGGCCAGTTGTTAGCCTCTGTGTGGGTAATGGGAACTAAGCCCAGGTCCTCTGCAAGAATAGTAAATGCTCTTAATCACTAAGCCATCTCTCTATCCCCTACCACCTTTTTTTAAAAGCAGGGTCTCACATATCCCAAAGATGACCTAGAACTTCTGATTTTCCTTTCTCCACCTCCCAAGTGCTGGGATCATGGGCGTGTGTTACTACATCCAGTTTATGCAGTGCTGGACATCTAACCCAGGACTTGTGTGCATAGTAGGCAAGCACTCTGCCAACTGAGCTACATCCCCAGCCCTGATTAACCATCTTTGATTTAAAATATTCATATATGTTGTGCTGGATAGTATCAGTTGTCAACTTGACACACTTAGGAAGAGGGAACCTCTTCTTAGGCATTGCCTCCACTGGATTGCCATGTTCTTGACTGTTGAGTGATGTAGGAAGGCCCACCCATTGTGGGTGGTGCAACACCTGGGCAGGAGGTCCTGGGTTATATAAGAAAACAGACTGAACACAGGTCAGAGGAGCAAGTCAGTAAATGTTTCTCCATGGTCTGTGCTTCAGTTCCTGTCCTGCTAAAATTATTGTCCTGGCTTCCCTCAGTAATGAACTGTCAATTGGAAGAGTAAGATGAAATAAAACCTTTCCTCCCCAAGTTAGTTTTGGTCAGCATTTTATCACAGCAATAGAAAGTAACTAGGACATAGATGTAAGTCACTAACTTTAATAATCGATTTATACTTAACTTTCTGACTTTCAGATAATACTTGATTTAACTAACATAACATAATTATTTCTAAGTACTTTGTGGCTCAATTCAAGTATGTCATCACCAATTTCAAACTTTCTATTACTCACTACTGGGCTATATAAGGCAATGAAGAATACAAATCATACTCAGTATTACTTATTTCCAAAGGCAGCAGGAAGGGCATTTTGGCAGGTAAAGTATATTGATTCTGGTGGTAGTTACACAATTCTATGTATCTGTCAAAACTTAAGATGTTGTACTCAGCAAGCATTCATTCAATTCTTTTTGTTCCTGATTGTGGATTCAATATGACTAGCTGCCCGAAGTTCTTGCCACCACTGTGACTTCCTGGAAATGATGAACTGTAAGCTCAAACTAAACTTGACAAAGGCAACTTAAAGGAGAAAGAATTTATTCTGGCTCACAGTTCACTGGATTAGTTCACTCACAGTTGACTGACTGCTCCTAGCCCTCATCAGAGAAGCTTCTGAGAGCTGCAGGAGGTGGTTATGCAGAGGCTTGTAACTTGTCAAGTTCCAATAATAAGTGGTGGTGGGGTTCTCGACCCTAAATGGGACATCTATATGATTCCCTCCTAAGGCTCAGCACATCAAGGAAGAAGGGGCAGTAAAAACATAAGAGCTAGAAGATAAGGTGGTATGCTACAAAAGTATGTCTCCTTGACATGACATGGCATAGTCATTGCACTCACCAACTCACTACAGCTATAGTTACCACACAAGACCTGCACAAGACTGGGCTTGTCAACATTTCATCATGAAGTGAGGAGGGGCAGCACTTGAGGCCCTACTTTTCCCTAAGAAATTACTGCAGTCCTTGCTTGGGAAAGGAGTGTCATTTTTTATCAGTGGTATAGCCATTGAAAAGTACCTCATGCTCCAATAAACAGCTTCCCATGCATGCTCAAGCAAGCAATCCTAATTAAACTCAGCAGGTCACACATACTAAAAAGATACGAAAGTAGGAAGGAGCGTCTTGGGAAGAAGGGTTTAGGTGGAAGACTGAGGGGCATGAGAGAAAGGTAATGGGGGATGAAGTTACTAAATCACATTGTATGCTTTATGTAGGAAACTGTCACAGAATAAAAAGTTTCATGCAGTTTAGAAAAAAAGTTATACTTGCCGGGCATGGTGGCTGACACCTTTAATGCCAGCAGAGGCAGAGGCAAGTGAATCTCTGTGAGTTCAAGGCCAGCCTGGTCTACATAGTGAGTTCCAGGACAGCTGGGGCTACAGGGAGACTGTGTCTCAAAAAGACCAAAACAAAACAAAAAAGTTACACCCAAATACAGTGAAATTTACTGTGTGTAAATCTCAATATACATATATTTAAAGTTCCTAACATGTAAAAAAAAATTTAATATATTTTATTTATTATTTTTATTTTATGTGTATGAGTGTATTGCCTGCATGTATGTGAGTATACCCATGTCATGCAGTACCACAGAGGTCAGAAGAGGGCTTCGGATTCCCCTGGAACTGGAGTTAAGGACGGTTCATAGCAGCCATGTGGGTGCTGGAAATCAAACCCGGGTCCTCTGCAAGAGTAATCAGTGCTCTTAACCACTGAGCCATGCCTCCAGCACTGCCCCTGCCAACATTTTTTACATCTGTTCCTAAATACTGCCAGGGAGTCAGTTTCCTAAGCCAATCAAAAAAAAATTTTAGCAGGTACAGTGGCACATGCTTTTAATCCCAGTAGTCAGGAGGCAGAGGAAAAGACTGGGGTATCTGTGTGAGTTCCAGGCCAGCTAGGAAACCCTGTCTCCAAAAAAAAGAAAGAAAAAGAAAAAACAGTTCTTGAGAAACCCTACTGTTATACTTAAATTTACATGTTCATTTTCAATTATACATTTAAAAAAAAAAAAAAGTCCTTTTAAAATTTTGATTGGCAAGCCTGCCAAGATGGCTGAGTAAGTAATGGTACTTGCCACCAACCCTAATGACCGGAGTTTGATCCACTTGCCTCTGCCTCGTGAATGCTGGGATTAAACATGTGTACTACCCAGTTTCTAGGTTTGTTTTTTTTTTTTCCACTTATTTACTTATTTTTATTTTGTGAGTGTTTTGTCTGCCTGTATATAAGTGTACTACTACATTGCATACAATGCCCATGAAAACCAGAAGATGTTGAATCCTCTAAAACTGGAATTACAGATGGTTGTTAGCTGCCATGTGTATGCTGGGAACTGAACCCAGGTCCTCTGCAAGAGCAGCCAGTGCTCCTAAACCACAGAGCCATCTCTCCAGCCCCAAGAACTATTCTTTCTGAGGCTTGAGAAAAACCGTTCAATTCTTCCAAAGTTTTACTTAAGATTTTAATGGTATGAGTCTAACTAGAAACAGTTAAATTAATATACTTTTAAGTCTTGATAAATAGATATATGTTTATATAGGACTTTTATATGGGGAGGGAATGCTTGTTTTAGGTTTTTGAAATAGGATCTTACTATCTAACCCAGGCTGGCCTTTCATGGTCTACCTGTCTTAGTCCCCCGAGAGCTGGAATTATAGGCATATGTCACTGTACCTGGATGAACTTGTGATTTAACATAAAACACAAAAACCATAATTTAACAATGTCTAGTACATAAAATGGCAATCAATAAATTTAATATAAATTAATGTAAGCAATGTCATACCATACTATAGTCACTGGAATTAAAAAGCACAATTTTGTGAAGTCCAGTATCTATCCAAATCAAAAAATTTAAAATTCTACACAGCTTTCAATTTCTACATGGTCTTAAACTATAAGAAAGATATTTAAAGCTAATTTGCATAAATCACAATTACAGAATTCTTGCTGAAAGAAACCCTAAGAAATCACCTTAAGTAAGCTTAAAAATAAGCTTTGCCTTTAAAGGGACAGGTGCCAAATATTTTAGGCTTTTTGCAGGCCATAGAATGTCTGCTACAACCTACTCTATTACTGTTGAGTAAAGGGAATCATAGACAGTAAGTAATCACATGCAGAGGAAGGCTGCTTCAATCAAACTTTACTAACACACAGAAAGGGTTGGTAGGATTTGTCCTATGAACCATTTTACCAGACTCTTGAACTAGAGTCCAGGTCCTTCATTTATACATAAAGAAACTAAGGTTCAGTAAAGTTAAGCAATTTGTCACCAGAAAGGTCACCAGGCAAAGGTCACCATAAAAATTTATAGTGGAATAACTGAATGCAGTTTCCCCACCCCGCTTCAACTATATACTCAACAAAGCACATACAAAATTTGGAGGGGGGTGGTCGACCAGGAATTGTGCTATAACCCCAGTCTAATACAAATGACTATATTTAAAATGACTGTATTTCCTACAGAGGTAAATTATAATACTCTGTAGAAGCTCAAAAATTTTCCAAGTGTCATAACTGCTTGTTTAATGAAGGTCAACAGAATGAAATGGGATTTATATAAGCCAGGAACTAACTATCCTCCAAGCATATACCTACACACATATGTGTACACACACACACACACACACACACACACACACACACACCAAAAAAGTGATTTCCTTATGTGTACAATCTAGTTCTCAGAATGCAGCAGTTCAATAAACTATGTTATATGAACTAAAAATATAAATTTGGCAGGAGAGATGGCTTAGCAGTTAAGAACACTGACTATTCTTGTAGAAGACCTGGGTTCGAATCCCAGCACCCACAGGGCAGCTAACAACTGTCCATAACTCCAGTTCCAGGGATCCAACAGCCTCTTCTGCCCTCCAAGGGCATTTCACGACACAGGTGCACTTAGCTACATGCAGGCAATACATGCATACACATAAAATAAAAATAAATAAATAAATAAATAAAAATTGACTTCAATTTTAATCTTTTCCATATGTAAAGATGCTTTTCATTTAAAAATTTTATGATCTCAAAGAATATGTTAAATGTACAATATCCTTGTACCATCAGGCAGTTGGAGACATCCACATTTTAAATGAATTTTCAATTAAATCATTAATGATACCTATTTTAAACAATATGATACTTTTCCAGAGGAGCTGCCATACCTAGTAAGTCTGCTCCTTCGTCCACATCTCCGATGAGGCCCGAGCCAGCTGAAGACAGTTCTTCAAAAAGAGATTCTGTATTGCGATCAAAAGCTTTGTTCTCTATGCCTTTGGTGGGAGTGCTATGCAACAAAAACAACAAAGCCAAACCAACAAATTACAAAGACTTTTTTTGAAAAATCAACAAATTAAAAAGACTTTTTCTGGCTTTTTAATACAATGGACTCAGCAACATATTTCCATTTACTACAAAATATTAACCTAAGAAGATTTCTCACCAAGTGTGGTGGTGCATGCCTTTAATCCCAGCACTCAGGAGGCAGAGGCAAGTGGGTCTCTGTGAATTCAAGGCCAGCCTGGTCTACATAGTGAGTTCCAGGACAGCTGGGGCTACAGGGAGAGCCTGTTTCAAAAAGACCAAAAAAAAAAATGAAGGTTAAAAGAAAAAAAAATTATAAGGGTCAGCCCAGTATGTTCGATATGTACCCAACAGGCATTTAGGTATAAGGAAGTTTAAACAAAATAAAGAAAAATAGAGAAGTACTTAGAACTGAACTGGGAGTCATGAAAATTTAGATGAGAAGACACTGTCATATAAGAAAATACAAAAGAAGATCCTCATACCAATTAGATTAGAAGAGCATCATCCAGAGCATGTGATGGAGGAGGCTGGAAGGAGGGGGGAGAGAGAGAGAGAGAGAGAGAGAGAGAGAGAGAGAGAGAGCCAAGTGTGGTGGCACCTGCCTGTAATCTCAGCACTTGGAAGGTGGAGGCAGGAGGATCAGGAGTTCAGGCCTACCTGGTCAAGTGCAAGCCTGTCTCAAAAACTTAAATAAAACCTGGGCAAAGTAGTGCATGCCTTTAGATCCAGAAGGCAGAGTTAGGTGGATCTCTGAATTCCAGGTCAGCCAGGAGCTACACAGCAAGACCTCATCTCTTGTTAATTAATTAATTAATTAATTAATATGAATGGAAAGCTAAAAAGGGAAAAAATAAACAGAAAAAAAATTTAAAGGGGACAGAAAATATAGCTTGGTGGTAGAGTGCCTGTCTGGCATGTGTAAGGACCTAAATTCAATCCCCAGTACTGAAAAAAGGAGGGAATAAAGTCAAGTTAAACTGGACATGATGCCACCTGTCTGTAATCCCAGCATTCAGGAGGCTAAAGCAGGAAGATCATCAGTTCAAGGTCAGTCAGGGCTATACTGCAGGACCCTGTGTTATAAAATCAAACTGATCAAACTAAACTCTGCATGACAATTAAACAGTATCTTCGAAATTCTCAAACAAAATGTTTTCCAACCTATAATTCTGTATCTAGCCAAACTATCTAACTAAAAAGCATGTCCATAAATGATACTTGTCACATTTCATTTCTGAGTCCTCAAAAATGACTGCTTATGCACCTTTTAAAGGCCCAAAAAACTAAGCTAGAGATAAGAATAAACTCTGCATGAAAAAAGGCATTATATCAAGAAGCAGACAACATGGAATCCAGGAAACAAGGTGAAGAGATTCCCAGGATGAGATTGAGGACATATGGCAGCACCAAAACAAACACCACAGCCTACTGGAGAACGGGAACAGAGCCATGGGACAAAGAGCTCTGAGAAACAGATCTGAGGTTTGCAAATGCAGAGTCTGTCAGTAAATTAGTGATAAGCTTATGGAACACTAAGGAAAGAAAACAAATTTAACCACTCAAGATTTCACCAGTTCCAGAAAAACAAACAGTGGTCACAGAAAAGATTGTATCCTGTGGCTAAGCTGTGATTAATTAATGCTTGTATAGTGACACTAATTAATGAATAGTAATTTAACAAAATTTAAGATATAATTAAATTGAGAGAATGATAGATGGTGCTACAAAATTGAGAAAAGATGGATGGGGCTAGGTACAACCCCTGGACCTGCTGTAAAACCACAATCTGAGTGGCAAGATTTGAACCCACACAGACCTGCTTGTCTGGGGCTCTGCTTATTCTGAGGGACATGCTTTTAGCCATTACTGCAGAATGTTCAATGCTCAGCAGAGATTAATAAGTCATATATATGTTTATGACTGTTATTAACTAAAAGTAAAAATCTATGGAACTCAGTTTTGTTCTTGAACATCAACATATTTCCGATATCCTTGATTAAAATGATACCCGACCATTGTTCCGCTATCATTAAGCAGCCTTCCCATGTTCTAGAGAAGCATACAATCTTTTTCCTAATCATGGAAAAAAATGAAGTTTGTTCAAACTGTTACTTCTTCCACTCCTCCTCTTTGTTTCCTCAGTTGCAGAAATTATGGGTACCTTGTGGCTACCTTTCTCCCCACCTGCAAGGGTAAATGTGTCCTCTCCAGCATTAGGTGATGCCAGTGTTTTGAAGAGGTAGGGGCTCTAAGAGGTGATTAGGCCATGAGGACTCCTCCCTAGTGAAACAGACTCAGATCCATTTTAAGAGAAACTTCACACAGCATTGAGATGGTTTGTTCTGCCATGGAAGAATACTGCAGCCTCTCCTCTGCAGGATCCAACAAAAAGGCATTATCAGACAACCAAACCAGCCAGTACCTTTCATCTTGGACTTCCTAGCCTTCAGAATTACAAGAAAACAAATCATTACTCTTTATAAATTATCCAGTCTCCTTTAAGGGATGATGCTAGGTAGGCTGACCTTATTCCAGTGGATAGACATAGACCTTAACATATATATATGACAGAATGCATGAAATCTAGTGGGTGAGTTATGGGAGGATGCAGACAGGGGTGGTGGTCTAAATATGATTAAAATGTGTTTATGAAATGCACAAAAATTCAATTAAAAATAGTGAAAAACATAGGCAAATAAATAAATTAGCCAGCCTCAGGTACTGTTGTAACAACATGGATTAAGATGCCATGCACCATTCCATAGGTTCCCAATTCCTCATGCTGCCAGGGAAATTTCCCCTCAATTTAAAAACATGAATAATATGTAGTTTCAAAGACAGAAACTGGGCTACAGTACCAACATTTCTTCAGCACAGTATGAACTGATCTTGTCTAGTCAAAAACAAGATCAGAATGTTTATGGGAGTGGGTAAAAAGAAAGATAATGATATAATGGGACATTTTCAGTACCTTGAACCTTTATATCCACTGAGATCTTTGTCCATATCCAATTCAGGAGTAGATTCGATGATTGCTTGAACTTCTGATTTCTCTTCATTTTCAGCAGAGCCTAAGGGTAGAATAGATGAAAGAAACATATTATACAGTACCCTTTTATAGAAACTGTTTGCCTTTATGGTTTTAAATATATCAACCAAATATTTTTGAACTCTAAAGGCTGGGGTCTAGGATGAATGAGATCAGACGATATTATAAAGTAAGTCAATCTCAAAGACTACTAAGTAACCATAAAGTTTTCATTTGTGTTTCTTGGTACATGTAGTACAACGTATCACATGATAATTGATAATTAAAGGGGGATGCCAACTGCCCAGGGTCATGGTACATGCCTGTAATCTTAGCATTTGGGAGACAGAGGCAAGGTTATGTTTAGCTGCAACATGAGTTTGAGGCCAGACATGATATGGTCTCAAAAACAAACACACAGGGGCTTAAGATAGCTCAGTAGTTAGGAACACTTGTTGTACTTGCAGAGGACCTGGGTTTGGTTTCCAGTCCATACAGCAGCTAAAAACCATCCATAACCATCCATAATAGTTACAGGGTATCCAACAGCCTCTTTTGGCCTCCATGGGCTTTAAGATATGTGGTACACTTAAGACACATGCAAGCAAAACACTCATACACATAAAATAAAAATAAATATTCAAACAAACAAACAAAAATGGTGGTACCAGGCATGTTTGGACATGCATGAAGTCCCAACAACTCCAAGGTTGATGCAAGAGAATCATTTAGTTCAAAGCCACAACATAGTTAGTCCCTGTCACAAATCATCCAACCAACCAACCAACCAACCTATTTATAGGAATACAATAGACTATCATATTAAGGTAGGGGACAGGGAATTATTGCCCTACTATCTTTAGCTAACTTACTAGTCCCTAACATTTTTCGCTCCAAAACTTCATGAAATCATTACTTCTAAACTCATTTACAATTAAGCACAATGGATAAAGTATTTATTTTATACATTTAAAGCAGGCAACTCCTCTAAAAATGTATTTTCTCATACTTGTATTGTGTTAACAGAATATTTTGCTAATAAGAACTTGAGTCACTTACCTGTAGATGCATTTCTAGTTTCCTGGGCTACCTGTATTTCAATATGTTTGTTTATCTCGGACTTATGTGGTGTATCAGGGCCTTTCACAAATCCTTCATTATCTTCTTTTAAGGGAGTGTCAGGAGGAATTGCTGACACATCTGAATTTGCTGTTGACGCTGGAGTGGTAGCTTTAGATCCACCTTGGCTAACATCAGAAAGTTCATCCTACAAATAAAAGTAATTAGGGAGAAAATTTTAAAACAAGTAACTTATTCTAAAGTTGTCTCAATTATGAATTAAGAAATAAATTTGCCTAAGCAAAAGTTGTATTGAAAAAAAAATTACTGATACTAACTACCTATAAATAACTGGGTAATATTTAAGTAAATTGTATCTGAGCCAGTGAGGGTTGCAGTGGGTTCAAGTGTGTGGCACAATAAGCCTGATAACCTGAGTTCAATCTCCAGAACCCACAGAAAAAGTGGAAAGAGTTAACTCCACAAAGTTGTCCTGTGACCACATGCATGCAGTGGCACACATGCAACCTCCACTCACACATCATACACACACTAATAATTTTTTTAAAAGAAAAAAATAAATTGCATTTTTTATTCAGACAAATAAGATTTTTCTAGACAGAAAATTTTAAACAAAAGATTGAAAGTATAGCCGGGCGTGGTGCACACGCCTTTAATCCCAGCGCTCAGGAGGCAGAGGCGGGCGGATCTCTGTGAGTTCAAGGCCAGCCTGGTCTACATAGTGAGTTCCAGGACAGCTGGGGCTACAGGGAGACCCTGTCTCAAAAAGACCAAAAGAAAAGAAGATTGAAAGTATTAGCAGGGTTGAGGGTGTGGCTCGGTGGTAGAATGCTTGCCTAGCACACATGAAAGCCCTGGGTTCAAGTCACAGCAACACACGCACACACAGTATTACCAATAAAATTATACACTTATACAGTAATCTCAGTAAAAGATTTTTGTTTGGTTTTTTTTTTGTTGTTGTTTTTTTTTGAGACAGGGTCTCCCTGTAGCCCTAGCGTGCACCACCATGCCCAACAATAAAAGTTCTTAATGATAGTTCTAATACTGTGCAATCATTTAACAATAAGGACTTACTTTAGCAAGACCCTGCACCCTGAAGCAGCTGCTTTAAAACAGCACTGTAATAACCAGGTTCTTAATCTTAAAACAGCTTTGTAGAATTAGTATAAAACATCTTGCCGAAGACACGACACACTTTGGTCACAGGACACAAATTAAGCTGGTATTGATCAGGAAGTTTCTACCCTGCTGGTTAGCTTTCATAGTAGAGGAAAGTGCTTCCCAGCTGTGAAACCTGTAAGTTACAATAACAACTGGTATATGCCCATGGCTGCGATAGTGGTGCAAGTATGGGGGCAACTAATGGCTTTCTGATTGGATTTAAGTCTTGCTCCACAGGAAGAAACGCATGTCTGGTACTATAAATCTGCCAAGAATCTATGGTTGGAGAGTTCACAGTAGCGAGCCTACTTACTATTATTTTGCTAAGGGGACATCATATCAAATTGCCTTCTCTCTACCCATAAATTAGATTGCAACTCTCAGACCTCATCAGAGAAGTTTCTTTGAGGAAATGGAGAGCAGAAACACAACTGATCAAAGGGCAAAGAATAAGTGTCCTGAGGACTCAGCCACAAATGGAGGATTTCCATAAGTTTAAGGCCAGCCTGAGCTACACAGTATCAGCCTAGCCAGGGCTATATTTAGGAAGACCAGGACTCAAAACAAACATCCCTCCAAAAGCCCTCAATAATAGTATTACTTCATAGGACTATTACAAATTATTTATACAATAGCTTAGCAATTTGTCCCTACTTCAGGCTTTTTTGTTTTTTAATGATAGAAATACAGAAAGCAGCTGGGCATGGTGGCCTTTGATCCCAGCACTTGGGAGGTAGAGGCAGGCGGATCTCTGTGAGTTCAAGGCCAGCCTGGTCTACACAGCGAGTTCCAGGTCAGCTGGGGCTACAGGGAGACCCCATCTCAAAAAGACCAAAAAAAAGAAAGAAATACAGAAAGCAAAAAACTGTAGATTACAGAGCTGTGTGGAATTACTGGGGCTGGGTATCTAGCTCAGTGACAGAATGCTTGGAAAGCCCTTGATTTAGTCTCCCCTCCAAAGAAGGGAGAGTGGGAAGGGCAGAGGGAGAGAAAGAAGGCGGGGTCTGCTGCACGACACTATACCCACAGTCAGCAATCATGTATTGCACAGTTAAATTTTTATCGGGGCCTGGAAGTGGTGGAACACGCCTTTAATTCCAGCACTCAGGAGGCAGAGGCAGGCAGATCTCTGTGAGTTCAAGGCCAGCCTGGTCTACATAGTGAGTTCCAGGACAGCTGGGGCTACAGGGAGACCTTGTCTCAAAAAGATCAAAAGAGAAAAAGAAATAATTTTTTTTTAGCAGGGTAGACCTCATATTAAGTGTTCCTACCACAAAATTAAAAATCATAAAGTGAGGGCTGGAGAGCTGGTACATACTACTCTTGTGGAGGATCTGAGTTCCACTGCAAGAACCCACTTTGGGTGACTCACAACTGCCTGTAACCTCAGCTCCAGGGGATCAAATGACCTCTTCTGGCCTCTATAGGCGCCCCACACACTGGCATTCACTCAAAAAGACATATACATATAAAAATAAATAAATATTTAAAGAAATCATAATTTGAGTGCCTCAAAATAGGAGAATAAGCTAATTATAGCAAATCCATACAACAAAATATTACTCAACAATTAATCGTAGTAACCAGATATTGTGGCTCACACCACTAATCCCAGCACTTGGGAGGCTGAGGGAAGAGGACTGCCATAAATTTGAGACTAGCCTGGGCTACAAGGTAAGTTCAAGGCCAGAGTGCCTTGTCTTTAAAAAAAAAGGGGGGGAGAAAGAAAAGGAGGGGCAGGGAAGAGGGAGGGAGGGAGGGAAGGAAGGAAGGAAGGAAGGAAGGAAGGAAGGAAGGAAGAGAAAAGCTGTGTTATAGGGTTGGTGTGTAGCTTGGTGGTAGAGTGCTTGCCTAGAATGTATAAGGCTCTTGATTCAGTTCCCAGTACTACCAAACACAAAGTTAAAAACAGCTGATATATGAAGTCCCAAAATCTGTTTTGTTGTTTTTGTTGATCTTTTGGTTTTGACTTTTATTGGTCTGTATTTGTTTTTGACACACAGTCTCACTAAGTAGTACTTGCTGACCTGGAACTCTGGCTGGCCTGAAACTCACTATGTAGACCAAGTTGACCTTGAACTCATAGAGATCCACCTGCCTTTGCTGCCTAAGAGCTAGGATTAAAGGTATGCACCTTCATGCCCCATTTGGTTTTGGTTTTTTGAGACAGTCTACTTTGTAGCCCTAGCTGGCCTTGAAATAAATAGCTCAGGCAGGCCTTGAACTTGGGGACAATCCTCTTAACTCAGGCTCCCAAGTGCTGGCATTGTAAAGTGTGAGGCACTACACCCAAATCCAAAGCTTTAAAAAAGCATGTACAATGACTAAAAGTGGTTTAGAATTTTTCCAGCTTATGATACATTTTTATTCTTCCCAAAAATTTTAATAATAGGCAAATGCTACTTTTATGATAAAGGAAAAGAAATAAAGTTTAACGACCTTAAGAGTAAAAATAAATTGTTTTATCTGGGCCAACTGTATGGTCTTAAACACCCACAAGGAAAGTATAAGCAAAGATTAAAGGGATCAATATAATTCTTTAAAGAGTCCATGTGTATAGCTAAAAGCTACATAACAAGAAACAATGCCAGACAGGAGATACCTTTCTCTGAGTTGTTGGCCAGGATGGCCCAAGAGACTCCCAGACAGTAACCCAGCATAGAACCGGGAAAACAAACAGCAGACCCCAATCTTATCTAAAAAAATATAAAAACCTGACTGCTGCTAGATAAGAGCTGATCTTCCTGAAACAAGGAACTCTAGATAGGCTGACTAGATTCAGCAGACGGACAGCACTGGAGAACAGCTAGGATACCGATTACACAATGAACAGTAATAGGGATTACAGAGTATATGTACTGGGGGCGGTGGGGACACGAGTATGGGAAGGTGCCATTTGGGATGTGGGTACATAGATAAATAAGATTGTTTGGGATGTTCTGTATGAAATACACAAAAAAACAACAAATTTTTAAAATGTTGGTTATATTTGAGGAAGAAGCATAAAAATGTGCTTCATGTTAATTAGTAGAGGTGAAACATATTACCATTGAAATTCACCCGATGATTTTTATATCCATGCTCAGGTGGATCTCAGAAAGTAACCAACTCTGACTAGTAATAATCAGATGCATAGAGATTACAGATGCATGTGCAAACATCTAAGTGTTAGTAGCATTAAAAATGAGTTTTTCTATATGAAACAGTATATTTTAAAATGAAATGGAGATTTTTTAAATGTTAAAACCTCATTCAATTTTATGTGTTACAGGGTTTATACTGAGTTCAATATAGTATAACTGCATTAATTCTAATTCAACTGTGAACCTAAAAATTTACAACTAATATTGAAAGAGATGCATCTTTGCTCTGGAAATTGTTATTGAATATGTTAATGCTGTAATGAAATGCTTCTTCTAATCATATGGTTATTAAATAAATAATTTTTAAAAAAAGAAATAAAGTTTAAGGTGACTTTGCTCATCTGTCCCCTGAAGTGCAATATGAATAATAAGTTAATAAAGCTAGTTGAAGCCGGGTGTGGTGGTGCACGCTTTTAATCCCATCACTTGGGAGGCAGAGGCAGGTGGCTCTCTATGAGTTTGAGGCCAGCCTCGTCTACATAATGAGTTCCAGGTCAGCTGGGGTTATAGGGAGACCCTGTCTCAAAAAGACAAAAAAAAAAAAAGTTAGCTGAGTTGTACTAATTATTTTCTTTTGTGGATCTCAAGTACCGGACTGATTTTCAATGAAAAGGAAAACAAATGAAAGGAATAAATTAATTATCCATTACCTCCTCCCCACCCCAAAACAAAAGATTACTATCCTTGAAATGATGACTGGCTCCTAACAGAAATAAAAGTGTAGACTGGGCGTAGTGGCACATACCTTTAACCCCAGCACTCAGGAGGCAGAGACAGGCAGATCTCTGTGAGTTCAAGGCCAGCCTGGTCTACATAGGGAGTTCCAGGACAGCTGGGGCTACAGGGAGACCCTGTCTCAAAAAAGACAACAAACTTGGAA